GACTAAATTTTGATATTGTTAAACTTAACTATCATCTAAGCATTTTTTTTCTCGTTTGTTTGTGTCTCTTTGTGAGTCTTTTAGGCAAGAAGATGCCAAAAATGACAAAAAAGGATGAGAAGCAATTTGAGGGACATGCACGTCAAACATCCAAGTCAATCAGAATCGCTTCATGTCCAAGTGATCATGAAGCAGGTCGATTAACTAGAACAACTAGAACAACGGATCCTGCTTTGCCTACACCCGTGATCGGCCATGACGCTGATCAACTACATCGACCAATCTTACCATCAAAACAAAGAAGATTTCTAAAATATTTTGCTTGATCGACCAACGCATTTTCCTCTTTAGTTTTGATTCCTTCCCGATTCATCGCGTCATGTTCAAATGGTCGACAACCACGTCAACCAGCTAATTAAGCTGACGACCAGACGATGAAACATTTGTCTACACCCGTGATCGACCATGATGTTGATCAACTATGTCGATCAATCTTACCATCAAAATGAAGAAGATTCCCATCATGTTCCAGTGATTAGCATGCATGTCGATCAACCACATCGATTAACAACGCATTTCTTTTTTTTGATTTGTCCTACCCAGTGTATCACGTATAAATATAGTCCAAATTAATTTGGTATTTAAACATTTTTCAAGCATTTATTAATCTAAGTTTTGATAAAGTTTGAAGGTTCTAAGTATTTATGAGAGAAATAAAATAGTTTTTGCTATATTTTTTATGAGGATGGTATCTCATCCAAATTTATGTAAATTTTCTTCAGTTCTATTTCCATAATTTTTTAATTATGTTTTTGCTAGCTTTTATTTATCTTTTTTTGTTTGCTTTATTGTTAAGCATATGTGAGTAATCTCATTGTTGGATCATAAGTTTGGTAGACTTGGCTTATTTATGGTTGGATAATGATGCTTAGGTCTAAATTCTTGTAGAATATTAATTTCTTATTATGTTGTTAGTAATGGTAGATTGTTTTGTTCATTCAAATATAGGACTTATGTATTTCATATCCGAAAGGTGTTGGCTGATGTGCTTGATCCGAACGTTTGATGAACTATTCGTTCACTCTTGTTTATTGTTTAATTAGAAATTGAAAGTTTTTATAAGACTATATTAATGATGTGATTAGTGACATGAAAATGAATTAGTCTTGTGTTTGAATGTTTCATGTCGTAGGATTGGGGTTATAAAGTGTCTTAGTATCATGATCCAATTGTTATACTAAATTAATCAAATTACTTACTCATGATTTAATGTTTCCAATCTTTGTTAATCTTCTTGATTATCTTGTGTTAATCTTTTTTTTTTAGAACGAAAACACATAAAAGTTAGGTTGAAACAAGTTGATATGGGTGATTAACAACAATAATCAACAATCCAC